TGTAAGCCTGCGTGTTTGTATATGTTTGTGTGTGTGTGTGTGTGTGTGTGTGTGTGTGTGTGTGTGTGTGTGTGTGTGTGTGTGTGTGTGTGTGTGTGTGTGTGTGTGAGTGTGTGCACGTGGTAAAACACCAAACCAATGTGCCACGATCTGGACAATAAAGATGTATCCTATCTCATCTTATACGTTAAGAGTCGCCCGAAGTACGGTCACTCAAAGTACACAGAGGCGTGTTCAAGGAAACGTGAGTCCTACGTCGCCGTAGCAGTGAAGTGGTTAATCATGAATATACACATAAAGAGAGCAGTGAAAACAAGACATATCAATATTTTATAGATTCCGAAACACTTCGGCTATTGAAAACATTAGGTTGAAGTACATGTAGATAAAGAATAAGTCTGTCGGAGACGTTAAATTTGGAGGTCCTGCCTCTTACATAACATTAGAGTGTTGAAAGGGCCATTAAACCTATACAATCTCGCTATGTTCTCATTCTGATCTAAGAATTCATGAGCATCACCTATCATGTGTCCCACAACCAAGCGGCACTGCGGCCAACACCAGTCTCCAGGGCACAACTGTGCGGGGCTGACTCAAACCGACCACACCACTCTTTCCTCCACAGCGCCTCAGAAACGACGCGCAGCCCTAGAATCAGAACAGCACCACCGCTACTGCCCGGGCAAGTAGCTGCCTTGTATGTCAGACAACCTTTCTCCCGCCCCCTGTGGTGTCCTACAGTAATGCGCTTCGCACAACCGTGCGGGTGTGAGATGACAAAAACCAAGAGTCTGTAAGTTGTTTTGTCTAACAAAAGCTGAGCAATTTTGGCGTCTGTTTCATCTCGTTGGTCTCTTAACTCTTTAATTGTCCTAAACGTAGGCCTACTCTTGTCTTCCTCGCGAAGCTGAGAACAACGTTCCTTAACGTTCTGTGCTACTCTGAGGTCTATTTCATAGCGTGTGTCACTCAGTCTCTTTAAGTTTTGTGCTAGATCACTGCTATGTGTGTAACACAGTAGACAACAAGTGTCTTTCTCCGTGTCAGCGTCTAGAACTTTGCAACTGCGTACTATCTGTGTGCCATTCTTGTCTGGACGCTCATCAAAGCAAACAATATTACACCAGTTCGCTTCCAAGTCGTCGAAAACTACGTGACGGGCAGTGAGTATTTGAATTTCCCAATACTTGTTTTTCTTCACCCCAGACTTACTGCACGAGTAACAGAAACACAGGCCTTCAATAGGACCCAATACGACACGCACACACCCACTTCCCATGTGATTGACGAATTGACCTCTGATGTCAGCAAATGGGTAAGGGGACTGGTTCTCCCATGTGGGAGGTCGCTGTTCGCTGATAAATAATGAACATATTTTGACTACCAAAGGCGCCCAACTCTTCACCCAAGAAACAACGTCTTCCTTGCAAAAACCCTGGGGAACGTTGCCAAGGGCGTCCACTCCGAAGTCATTAACAGAGAAGAACGGGAGATGGCCAGGGTGCTTTTGGCATTCCGAGTAAGAGCTCAAATGCCCTCCCTCATTCTGAGCCACTTCATGTGTTCCTAAAAAAAAGACATAAAGCATAAATAAATGATTTCTACCTGCCCACATGTCTTCCTGAAAAAATGAAATACTTGCTGTGTAAGTGATGTAAGGTGATGATGTAATGAGTAATAATAATAATAATAGATAGCATTTGTATAGCGCATATCCCCGCTCAACAGCAGGCTCTATGCGCTTTACACTATATTATGTAATGAGTAAATAGCAGGTATATTGCAGATCCTTTTTGTTTAATTCAGGAAGGACAAATCTGGAAGAGGTTGCCAATGAAGGGCGTCCACGTGATCCAACGTTCGAAATCGGTATATATAAGAAGTGTTGTCGCACGTATTGTAGATAATAGGCGCTAGCAGGGGCGAAGCGTCTATATAATCAAATAATCACTGCTTCCCTTCATAATTTTGAAACATTGTCGCTGTCAAATTCATCCTTAAACGTAAACCTCTTAAATTGAATGTAAAAAGACGTTCGTAATCCACAATGAGTATGCCTAACATTCAAAACGGTTTCACGGCCACAGAAATAGCCTCCTCACCCCTCTCGGGCCACTCCATAAGCAGTCGCAAGCTTTGATTAAGTAAGCTTAAAGTGGGGCTGGAAGAGTCTACCTATAGAGTTGAGGGAACATGTGCATAGCAGTCATGGCTGTTTCATTGCCACATATACCCTGTTCACCCCTTTGGGGTCACAGTTATAATCAATCACAAGCTCTGATTATATAAGCTAACGAACACTGGTCGAGTCTACCTCACAAATGTGAGGGGAACTAACTCCTAACAATCTCTTTACTGCTGCATGTGCTTGTTTTTTTTCCTCGACTTTTTACCGTCCTATAATCAGATCGTGTCCTCGATTATGACACCAGCTCCAGGCCGCGAAAGGCTAACAAAAACAGCCAAATGTGAAATTTTAAAAAATGATAATTGTCATGTTCTACCAAAGAGTTAGATTCACTGGTAGATCTATAACATATAGATCTAGTACTGACATCTCTGCTTCTTTGCTTTGTGTTTATGTATTCACATCTAAAGTTAAATTTCATTTTAGTTGGAACTGATACTTAATAAGATACTTTCCCGATTATTTTGGCGGTTGAACATACAATATGAATTCCGGATTTGTTTTCATTTACAACTCAGTCAGAGTCGCCGCCTCGAGTAAGATTCTTGTGTGATATCTACTGGCCATATATATCTGGTCCCGTTTCACTTTGATTACCCTGTCAAACAAGTCAGCGTTCGCCCCTGGGTGCTAGAAACTTAAAGAGATTGCTTTTGGCTTTCTGAAGTCAGCATGGGTCAGCATAACGGTGAGGCGCCTCGCCATCGATGCAGAGACCCGAGTGGGGAGAAACATATTTATTTTATGATCGAGTGTATCGTTCTTTTATTCTGGGATGTTGTGTTCCTATCAGTCCGGATTGGCCTAAAAAAAAGATAGATTTAAGATCCCGCCACCTAAATGAACTATACTGTGTCGCTTTTTCCAGCCTAAATGCCCGTATGGGGGATAAACGCGGTTAGTCGACTATACGGACCAACGTGCATACAGGCCCTGGTCGACTGGGTAAGGTTTTTCAGGTTTTATACATGATCCGAGGATCACTGAAGTGCCTCGGAATCTGCGACGAATGTTGATAGCGATAAATTATTGTTCAGAGTTGCTAGCCGCCCGATCCAGGGAAATTAGTGTTTTGCTACACGAAAGAATTCGGTCGATGAGCCTTACGGTACTGGCCCGTGGTGATTTCCGCGTTCCGAGCGAACGAACTCGGTCTCTCTCTCTCTCTCTTTTTTTTCTCTCTCTCTCTCTCTCTCTCTCTCTCTCTCTCTCTCTCTCTCTCTCTCTTTCTTTCTCTCTCTCTCTCTGCCAGCAGACGAAATTGCTCGCTTTACAGTTCAACTCAGCTCTGGAACGTTTGTATCGTTTTTACGAGCCGTCACACGCTAAGACAAAGTCGCGCCCAAGTCTCGCTCGGACGCTTGTTAGGGCAATTCAAACAAAGATTCTCTACTACAAGATCAAATTTTAATATTGGAATCCTTTTTTGGGCTTTCGTCCCTCGTCGTAGCCGGGATCGCTTAGCCGCTTAGCGCGTGATGGGCTAAGTCACTAGAAGATGCGAGGTTGGTTTCATTGCCGACAGCTTGGAGTGTGTGTATGCGTGCGCGTAGGTGGGTGTGTCTGTGTGTGTATGTGTGTGTGTGTGTCTGTGTGTGTGTGTGTGTGTGTGTGTGTGTGTGTGTGTGTGTGTGTGTGTGTGTGTGTGTGTGTGTGTGTATGTGTACAAAATAACTTTGTTTTTGGAGTAGAAGAGGAGGTGCAGAATGGTACAGGCTAAATTTATGGAACGTGAATTGCTGAGATTGGTACAGATAATACAAATGAACCACACTAAAAAAACGAAATAAGCAAACAAACAAAAAAAAGAAAAGGGTTGGAAGGGGGGGGGGTGCTGTGGATGAGAAGGAAGAAAAGAAAACTGAAAATAAACAAATAAAACGTGGAAAGTTTACCGATTGAACTCATGTAGTTTGCTCGTCAATTGATATTCGCAACGATGGTTATACTAGTGTTGTAGTTAGTCTTGCACATTGTCACAGGTCAAATTAATTACATAATTAGTACCAGACAAATAATGGCGTTGTGCTCTTTCTCTTTAAATCTCTCTTTTTCCCCTCCTCTCTTTCTCTTTCTCTCTCTCTCTCTCTCTCTCTCTCTCTCTCTCTCTCTCTCTCTCTCTCTCTCTCTCTCTTTCTCCTTCTTTCTCTTTCTTTCTCTTTCTCTCTCTCTCCCTCTCTCTTTCTATCTCCCTCTTTCTCTTTCTTTCTCTGCCCGCAAACAAAATTGCTCGCTCACAGAGGTGTGCTATGTGCTCTCTATAGCTTCATGTCGTTCGGAAGGCGCAAGGCCGTATTTATGTTACCTAGTACTAGATCTAGTGACCGGCTCCGGATGGGCAGAAAAATGCTAGCTACTAGCCACCCGAGGTCGCAGAAATCCCCACGGGCGAGTAGCGTCAGGGTAATCGACCGAATTCGCTCGAGTAGCAAAACGCTAGCCACCCTAGATCGGGCGGCAAGCACCAGCCTATATTGTTAGCACACAAGTTAACCTCGACATGTTAATCTTTTTTTTACGGAACGCAATTTCCTTAACTGTTACAAATATTACAGAGATTACAGTCCACACTCCTTTCTCTGTTGTTTTTTTTTTTTATTCTGATAGCAAAGAGTAGGACCAAAAACACTCTAACAATGCCATCACTTAGGAGAGCCCCCCCCCCCCCCCCATTTGATTTTTCTGCTGAACTTTAAAACATGTTTTAGATGAAGTTTCTGAAGACGATTCATTTCCAAATTTCTGGTCACTCTGCGAGGAGTTGGGAAATAGTGCTGTGTACTGTCCCGCGGGACAGCCTAGGTTGATCTAGAGAGGTATCCTCGATCTAGAGTAAGCGCCAAATGAAGAAATAAAGAAACATCATTTCCAACATTACAGCTGCATCATCATCATCATCATCATCATCATAATCATCATCATCATCATCATCATCATCATCATCATCATCATCATCACATCCCATTTTTCTTGTTTGGTTTTCTTGAAACATGACCATTTGCACCATGTTGGCACACTTTACGTAACTTACAAATATGGCACCAAAATCGAGATACGGGACCAAAAAAAAGTACAGAAACGTCCCACAAGGTACTTAAAACAGGGTCGTCTACGACATGATCAAGCCATCGTCCCCACCCCCCTCGACCCCCACCCTCCGCAATTAAAAAAAAATTTAATAATAAAAACCAAACAAATAAAACTAGAAATAGTGCAACCATGTAAAAACCAACAAACTACCAGTAACAGCACAAAGACAGAGATGTGTATGTTTGTGCCTGCCGAAACACCCCAGATGTTTGAGCGATTCTAATTTTAAAAATTCAAAATTCTTGTTGAACCCACAGCTTTTAAGAGTTTTGTGCTAGCTCAAGCAATTCTCTAAAGAGACACAAAAGTAAGTTATATTTCAGAAAGAAATATTTTGGAATTCTACATTTTTGTTCATGCCGTAAATAAACTAAATCCAACCTAAATCTAATTGGTATTTGCTTCAGAAATGGTTGAAATCAATTAGTTGTTTTTTTTAAGAAAGTACATTTCAGATCAACATGACGTTTTCGATGTGTCTTCTTTTTTCAGCCAGAAGCTCAACCAAACCAGCTTTGCCGAACCTCCGGGCGCACATAATTATAATGCTCACCTGCTTGCAAGTGTCTGGTGGAAGCAAATGTTGGACTAAGCGCCATGACTCCCTGTAGGAACTGTTCAAGCTCTAACAGTCGCACAAGTAGTCGAGGGTAGGGTTGAAGTAGCCAGCCTCCTAAATGATACAATTAGTGTTGAAGGAGGTGTAGAGCCTTTATAATAACTAAGCATAATAAACATTGATTTTATGACATGCTGCAGGAGGAAAGTGATCATAGAATTGTTTACGAAACAACATTATAATATAATATTATGTATACCGAGAGGCTGAAAAAATGTTCAGCTTACAACAAAAGAAACACTTATGTTTGCATTAAATGCTCTAACTAAAAATTTTTAATGGTGTCCGTAGAATGAATCGTTATGAGGGGTTAAGAAAAAAATTCGAGTTATCAACTTTATTTGAATGTGTATGGCCAAGGCCTAACAAAGGCGGACAATTTGATCGGTAGTACATAGAAGTTCGAGATACTAAACAGCTGAACGAATTTTGAAATGCGTTAAAGCTGTGCAGTTGCCAGAGAGAACAAGTGAACAGTATCCAAAAGTGTCACGACGTTGTGGAATCTGGCGCATGTCAATTCTTTTTATTTTTGGATATATGGAGTTAATGGAAAACCTGTTCAATTGCCTTATTTTTAGGAAAAAATACTCATCCATCTTGAAAAAAAGTCGACATAGTTGCTATTGAAAGAGGTGGAGTAAATGAAGACCTCAAGAGGCTCCACAA